TCACAAGACTCACAGAGGGAAAATTCCTAGGTATCCACCTTGACAGTAGCCTTAAGTTCCGGACACACATACAACAAATCACCAAGAAAATCTCCAAGACTGTAGGCATACTATCAAAGATAAGGTACTACGTTCCACAATCAGCTCTCCTCGCACTGTACCATTCACTCATATACCCTTATCTTACATGTGGAATTTGTGCATGGGGATCAACAACATCCAATCACCTAAAACCCCTAATAACCCAGCAAAAGGCAGCAGTAAGAATGATAACAAATTCCCACTCCCGCCAGCATACTCCACCAATTTTCAAAAGTCTGAATCTGCTCACCATTAAGAACATCCATACTTATTCATGTGCCTACTACATACACAGAACAATACACGCAAATATAAACCCTCCACTCAAAATTTTCCTCACCAATCTAAACAGGACACATAACCACAACACATATACCTCGGAATATTTTTTTTTTTTTTTTATTCGCCGGTATTCTCCCGGCCCGGGTCTTTTCCAAGTAGTGGTGACCCGGCCTTGGCTCCCTATCTGGGGAGTGTCTCGAGACTTAAGTCTCCCATGGGAGGAGGTACAAGTACCTCCTCATCTTTGGGACCAAGTGTCCCCAGGCCTAGCCACATTCCCCGCCCTCACGGGGCTCGTAGGGAGAAGCTAGGCCTCTGATCTGCCATCTACCCCGCCTCAAAGGGGCTCGTGGGGATGGCAGTCTTATGAGCTGCAGATGGTAGCAAGCTCAGGCCGTTTCTTCCTCGGAATATAATTGAATCATTGTTTTCACAAAAAAGCATTTTTGAATATATGAATATATCTTTTGTCTTATATAAATTAGATTAACTTATAATTAATAATCTACTGTACAACTATGAAATAATTACTATCCTACTGTACAACTATGATATAATCCTTAGTGTTAAGTAGACTGTAAACCAATAATGTTAAGTTGGTCCATAATGCCTCGGCATAATAGAGGTTCTCTTTGCATTGCAACCCACTATTGTAAATACAAAATCTCAATGTACTGTTTGCAAAGACATAATAATAAATAAATAAATAAATAAATACAAGTACATAGCAGCATATGTATGAAGTGCCTAGGATAACCCAAAATAAGTCAGATAGAGTGACTTATTTCGACTGGAGTCCTTATTTATTTCCAGCACAGTTGTGTCTCCTTGTACGGTCACCTCTGGTACCAGTACAACTATCGACATTAAGTCTACGTTACAAAGAAAACGGTGACATTAAGACAAACTATAACGCTTCATCAATCAAAGAAAACGACAACTTTATAGCAAACTCCAACATTCTACATTAGAAAGGAAATGGTAATATCAGGACAAACTATAACATCCTACATTTGTTACCTAACACAGAAAAACGCATTATATATATATATTATATATTATATATATATATATATATATATATATATATTTATATATATATATATAATATATATATATATATATGTCGTGCCGAATAGGCAGAACTTGCGATCTTAGCTTAAATAGCAACGCTCATCTTGCCATATAGGACAAGCGAAAATTTGTGTATGCAATAATTACACCAAAATCATTCTGAACCTAACGAAAAAAATATATTTCACTGTGTTTGTTTACTATTAAATTATTGTAAACAAATCTAAAATATATTTAGTTGGGTTAGGCTAAAACAAATTTTTCTTGTTATAATAAGGTTAGGTAAGTTTTCTAAGATACTTTTGGTGCAAAATTATAAATTTTTACATTATCATTAATGAAAAAAATATATCTTTAAATGTATAAGAGAAAATTTTAGAAAGGACTTAATTTTAAATGAGTTCTTGCTAATTGACCAGTTTTACATATTCGGCACGACATATAAATATACTATATATATATATATATATATATATATATATATATATATATATATATATATATATATATATATATTATATATATATATATATATATATATATATATTTATTGTCATATATATTTTATATTCTGTATATATACTCTATAAATATTAAGTAGCAATAGATCTTAGTTTATATATTTTATTTGTTTATATCTATCAGTTGAGATCCTTATTAATATTGAAGAGGGCTACAGAGTAGCCTGGATAGCAAACAGAATATAACCCAACCTCTTGTTACGAAACCAGAAACAGGCCAACAGTTAGAAGGGGACCAATTAGTTAACCTTCTAACTTGCTCTGGAGACGTCTGTTTTAGAAGACGCTTTTTGTAACACGATCTCTAAGAGTAGTTCTCAATGGGAAAGAGTCTACAAAACACTCAACTGATGGAAGAGTTTCACAGGGAAGAGCATTTGGGCCATTGATACGAAATGTCTATTTCAAAGACCTTCAACTCATCCCAGAATCTCATGCAAATGCAGACGACTGTACACTGACATTTACTTACCCAATGGAGGAAATGTCAGCTGCTCTAAGTTACATCAATCACCAGATTACAAATACACCAGCTTGGGGGAAACGATGGTACATATATTACGTTTGCTTCTGAGAAAACACAAATAGTGATGGTCTCTAGGCACCATGATGGTAATGCTGGAGCAGCGGTAATAATGAATGGAACAGTGTTGGAACCTAGCGATGGGGTTGATATCCTTTGGGTGAAATTTGATCGCAAACCGACTATGAAGAACCACATAAATCTCGCAAACAAGGCGGCTAGTAAGCTTACAGAATTTACACCTATCTCGCATCTGCTCGACAGTAGAGGCTGCGAGACTCTGTACGAGGCACAAGTGACCTCATGCCTTGGATTGACCTTAACCTCTACCCCTCCCGTTTCAACTACAAATTCTTAACAGAATAAAGAACAGAGCAAGACGATTCATCTCTCGCCTGGACCCAGCCTAGACAATCTGTCATCTGAGTAGAACATTCAATACCGGAGGGATGTGGGTAGCCCTACTGATATGTACAAGCCGATGTTGACAAGGGACCACACTTGGTCCCACTTCATGGTGAACAAGAAGACAGCTTCTACACAGCAACTACTGTGGTTGTACCCTTCTCAAGAACATCACTTTCATTTGAGATCATTCATTCCTAGAATGACACGAGTCTGAAGTTAAAATGCTGACCCACAGATGGCTTCAACTTCATCCTATTCCCTATTTGTATGTCTTATAACAAAAAGACTTTCAAATGAACTGAGGTAGGTAGCAGCTCTTAGCTTGTTGCACCCAGTATCCATCTTGTAGACGGTAGCGCAAGAGCATATGGATACAAAAAAGGCCCAGGAACTAGGCCCCGAAAAGGTTAACAGGAGTACATCTGGATTTATATCTACAGTTCTTTTATCTGTTGCAGAACATTTAGGAAATTTGTTTAATATGTTTGGTATCATATTTTCATTAATTAGATACCTTGATATATCACATAGGTTATTATACTCTGAATCCTTATATCCTTCAATAAGTGGACAATAAAGCACACAGTGTTCAAAACAGTGACCACAGGGCTGGCCACATATTTTGCATTTAGTATGATCATCTGTGTGTCTGCTAAACTGCCAGAAGCACTTGTAACCAAGCCTTAGACTGACTACTGCAACATCAGTCAGTTGCTCCAAAGGCATACTTACTTACGTTCATGTTATTGAGTGACAGATCTACTTAGGCTTCTAACGGCATTCCTATAATTTCACTTTTCAATATTTACTTCTCTCATAATATTATTCCTAATGCTAGACACAAATATATCAAAGTTATATTCTACATTTTTCTTCAGAGTACTTTTTTTTGGGTAATGTATCAACTTTACCGTGAAGGAGTGATCCACTATCTGATGGAATCCATAACAATTGTTCATTAATTAATTTTCCTGGATTTTTTGAGTATCTATATGTGGTTTCTCCAATGAGCATGCAGTTCGAGTCATCATGAGACTCAAAAGCCTTCAGTGATAATATAAAATCAGTAATAATCAGAGATTTAATCTCAGTGTCATAAGTTAACTTTAGTGCCATTAGGATGGCAAACAATTCAGTTTGTAGTGTAGACGCCCAGTTGTTAATTCTTATGCCTAACTCAACACAGTTCCTATCGTTCTTACTAGGGAGGTGACAACAAGAGCAGATGCAGCCCTGCCAGTACACTCCTGCGTAGATCCACCAGTTTACGTAATTTGTGATCTATTATTTCTGCCAGTTAAGAGAATTTTTTCTTGAGAGATAGCCTTTGCAAGTGATTTAAGGAAGGTATTACTAGTGACGAGCTTCTTGGGAGTGGCTTGCAGGTACCTGGAAGTTTACCTGGAGAGAGTTCCGGGGGTCAACGCCCCCGCGGCCCGGTCTGTGACCAGGCCTCCTGGTGGATCAGAGCCTGATCAACCAGGCTGTTGCTGCTGGCTGCACGCAAACCAACGTACGAGCCACAGCCCGGCTGGTCAGGAACCGACTTTAGGTGCTTGTCCAGTGCCAGCTTGAAGACTGCCAGGGGTCTGTTGGTAATCCCCCTTATGTATGCTGGGAGGCAGTTGAACAGTCTCGGGCCCCTGACACTTATTGTATGGTCTCTTAACGTGCTAGTGACACCCCTGCTTTTCATTGGGGGGATGTTGCATCGTCTGCCAAGTCTTTTGCTTTCGTAGTGAGTGATTTTCGTGTGCAAGTTCGGTACTAGTCCCTCTAGGATTTTCCAGGTGTATATAATCATGTATCTCTCCCGCCTGCATTCCAGGGAATACAGGTTCAGGAACCTCAAGCGCTCCCAGTAATTGAGGTGTTTTATCTCCGTTATGCGCGCCTGTGAAGGTTCTCTGTACATTTTCTAGGTCAGCAATTTCACCTGCCTTGAAAGGTGCTGTTAGTGTGCAGCAATATTCCAGCGTAGATAGAACAAGTGACCTGATATTAAATGAATATATCTTCCATGGAGGGTGAAATGCTCTTGTTGTCTACAGTGATACAGTTCATGCAGGTTATATAACTTAATATAACTGCATGTTCCTTTAAATCCTCACCTCTGTCTGTAGCAACGACGGGAAATTCGTAGACAGCTCTGGTCTCGTGGTCCAGCTGGCCAGAGATACATATATCTCCCGTCACAGGTCTAATCTCAAACTCCTTGAAGCGCTTGAAGCCGTCACCTATAGTGTAATTGACCATAGCGTTGACCCCGCAGTCTGGGTCCGTTGCAGACACCTGGGGAAGACACCAGAGAAACAGTGTTTAGTCAAATTCATACATGGAGAAGTCAAGTTCATAAGTGATAAGCCATGTCCATACATGGGTAAGTCAAGCTCACACATAGGTAAGTCAGATTCGTGCATTGTCAGCCAACATAACGGCAATGAACAGGAACCAAGTAGTGGGTCCAAGCGCTGTAGCTCTACAGAATATTCAGGTAAACACACACAATTATCAATACAGTATTGGTATCCTGTATAGACAAGTAGATGAAAGACGGAGACTCGATGTTCGACTCCTGCACAAGTCTGCTCCACACACCAAACATCTGGGCCATTAAGATACTCAAGCGCTGCACTTGTGTCTTATTCATCTACATACAAACTTAAACTGGCAATTTTCACACACGCACGAAATTTTTTTTGAAAAGGCCAGGAGCTTTAGCTCTGTCTTGCAGGCACAGCTTGGAAAGTGTTTACTTACCTCTACCTCACACACACACACACACACACACACACACACACACACACACACACACACACACACACACACATACACACACACACACACACAAGGGGACACAGTTGGAAGTTGAAGACACAGATGAATTACAGGGATGTTAGAAAGTATTTCTTCAGTCACAGAGTAGTTAGGAAGTGGAATAGTTTGGGAAGCGATGTAGTGGAGGCGGGATCCATACATAGTTTTAAGCAGCGGTATGATAAAGCTCACGGTTCAGGGAGAGTGACCTAGTAGCGCGACCAGTGAAGAGGCGGGGCCAGGAGCTTGGACTCGACCCCTGCAACCTCAACTAGGTGAGTACAACTAGGTGAGTACACACACGCACACACACACTACGTGGATAAACTTAAAGCACTCAGTAACACTGAAAGAGAAGGGCACCAGACAGAACACGATCATACCATACAAAATACTCACAACAGATAGAGTGGATAGTGTGTCAGGGGACACAGACGGCAACTAAAGACACTTGTGAGACACAGGGAGGTTAGAAAGGTAAGTGGAATATGAAGAAGTGGTGGACGCAGTACGACACAATGCTTCAACAACAATCTGTAGAAACTATCGCTAGGAGCTGAGAGGCGGGACCGAGAGCAATGGCTCGACCGTTACAAGCACTACTAGGTGAGAACAACTGGGTGAGTACACCTGGAGTCAGTACATGTACCGAACTTAAAAATGTGCATAGGTTGACAAACAGATATATGACGAAAAAAAAAAAACACAGGAAGAAGCTTGAGGAGAGTCTGGAGGAGCGTCAGGATCTGAAGGCAGCGACAGTGACCCTGTCTATAACGAAGCTAATGAACTGCTTTGCTTCACACCAGAAAGTAACAAGTCCCAAGGTTATAATAATTTAATGTCATTACTCTGTATCTTATCATATGCTAATCAGAATTATGCACTTCTGAATAGGGAAAAAAAAACAGTACGGTGGAAAACAAGCACAGAAGGATGACAATGATAAATTCCAGTATCAGGAATCCTTCCAAGGAAGATAAATTAAAAACACTTAACTAAAACTCTAGAAAGACGCAGTGATGGGCAATTAGACATACATGTACAAGTAGAAGACATTAATACCTGAAAGGAGATATGAAAATAATGTAAAAGCAACAAATCAAGGCACAACTCTGGGTAATAGACTCCAACTAGACATTTTAGATTAAGAAAGAATACAGGAAAACACTGATTCTGCAACAGAACTGCAGATGCTCTGAATGAACCACCGAGCAACGTCAGTGAAGGAGGTACTTTGTGAACCTTTTAAAATAAGGAAATAGTTGAATGTGAGAAAGACCAAGGTAGCAGGTCTGGTGCCTAGTGAAGCTGGTCTCATGTTCTGTGTTGCCACTATGTTCTCACAGCACACGGTCAAGGAACATTAGCAACTACAGCAGTGAACTTCGCGACACTGAAAGTGATAAGGTCCAGGGATAACATGACCAGCACGACATGTCACTGACAGGAACCACAAGCATAAAATATCTGACTGGACAGAAGACATAAAAGGAAGCTGAAGTCTCCGATATCCACCAAGAATATGGAGTGACTTAAGTGAGGAGGTAGTGACAGGAGGTAGTGACAGCGACCTTTACACTACACAAGGATATGAAGTGAGACAGATCAGGAGGTAGTGGAATAAAAGTGAGACAGTAAACCAACACTAGCACATCAAACATATGTAAACAAACGTTTCGCTCAGTGACAAACCTCTCACTGAGCGAAACATTAATAAAAGCTATCTGTGGCCTAGAGGACAGGAACTACACAAGTGAAATAAATGTTAAAAGGCGGGGACCGAGAGCTGTAGCTCGACTCTCACAGGCGCGCCACGCTAAGAACAAACAGTTACATACATTAATCAAGTATAACTACACCACAAGCGCCATGTCAGCACTGTCAGCAGCAACAGTAGCTGGGGTAGCAATAGCTGCATCAGCACTGTCAGCAGCAACAGTAGCTACGTAGCAGTAGCTGCATCAGCAGTCAGCAGCAACAGTAGTTGGGGGTAGTAGTAGCTACGTCAGCAATGTCAACAGCAATAGTAGCTTAAGTAGCAGTAGCCACGTCAGCAGCAACAGCAGCTGGGGTAGCAGCAGCCATGTCAACACTGTCAGTACCAACAGTAGCTGGTGTAGTAATAGCCCCATCAGCACTGTCAGCAGCAACAGTAGCTTGGGTAGTAATAGCTGCGTCACCACTGTCAGCAGCAACAGTAGCTGAGGTAGTAATAGCCAAGTAAGCACTGTCAGTTGGAACACTAGCTGAGGTAGCAGCAACCATGTCATCAGCAACAGTAGCTAGGGTAGTAATAGCCATGTCAACATTGTCAGTAGGAACACTAGCTAGGGTAGCAGTAGCCACGTCAGCACTGTCAGCAGCAACAGTAGCTGGGGTAGAAGTAGCATCAGTCCTAGCAACAATAATTGTAGGAGTGGTAGCAGCAGAGGTAACAACAGCGGTATAAATAACAATAGCAGTAGCAGCACTAAAAGTAGTAGCTGAAGTAACAATAGCAGTATAAGTAACAATAGCAGTAGAAGCAGTAGCAATAACAGTAGCAGCAGTAACAATAACAGTAGCAGCAGTAACAATAACAGTAGCAGAAGCAACAATAGCAGCAGTAGTAGTAACAATAACAGTACCTGCAGTAATAACAGAAGTAGAAATGTTAACAATAGTAGTAACAGCAATAACAATAGCAGCAGCAGCTGTAAAAATAGCAGTAGGAGAAGTAACAACAGCAGTAGCAGATGTAACAATAGCATTAGCCACGAGATCATTAATAATAATAGTTACAGGAGCAGCAGAAAAAGCAGCAATAACGGGAACAGCGGCAGCAGGAACGCTAGCAACAGCAGTATGAGCAGCATCGTTAGCAGTAATATTAATAGCGGAGATAGTATCAAGAGCACTGATACCATAAACAGCAGCAACAGCAGCGGCGGCGGCAGCAGTAACAATAGAACTGGTGACAGCAGCAGTAACAACAGTAGCGATGACAGTAGGAGCAGCAACTACGGTAAAAACATCAACCCCAGCATCAAGAACAGCATAATCATCACCAGCAAGATCAGCACAAGAATCAGCAGCACAGCAGCAGCACAGCACCTGTCCTCTAGTAACCCCGACAGCAGATCATGGAAGGGGCGGCACCAACTGGAAATTGTCTCTCTCCAGCCCCTCAGGGTTACCAAATAATCCTCACTTGTAGCTACTTTTTTTTCCCTACATCTCCTCCGAATATACCAGACACTGACTTGGAAGTAGACCGAAAGCCTGAAGAAAATCTGGAGGGCGAGAGACAGCGGGGCCTGAAGAAAAACTGGTGACTGTAAAGGCACGAAAAAAAAAAAACTCTCCCTTCAATCAGACGAAGTCCCAGTGAATCTTTCTTCTTCATATCGTGTCCTTATATATCCATAAAAGCTGGCGACATCGTCAAGTCGTCAATCCTCGTGAGTGAAATTCTTCACAGATGCGCGTTCGTATGCGTCGGAGTCTCGCACGAGTGTAAACAACATCGATGTCCCGCTCTTGAGCTGGTGTACAGGAATCGATGCCCAGATCTCGAGCTGGTGTATAGGACATCGATGTCCAGATCTCGATCTGGTGTATAGGACATCGATGTCCCGCTCTTGAGCTGGTGTACAGGACATCAAAGTCCAGATCTCGAGCTGATGTACAGGACATCGATGTCACGTTCTTGAGCTGGTGTACAGGACATCGAAATCCAGATCTCGAGCTGTTGTATAGGACAACGATGTCCCGCTACATACCAACAGAAGTCGTGGTTACCTACCCACTGAGCTCGTGGTTTCAATTATACTGAGGTTGTGGTTACCATTCTACTGAGGTCGTGGTTACCATTCTACTGAGGTCGTGGCTACCATTCTACTGAGGTCATGGCTACCATTCTACTGAGGTCGTGGCTACCATTCTACTGAGGTTGTTGCTACCATTCTACTGAGGTTGTGGCTACCATTCTACTGAGGCCGTGGCTACCATTCTACTGAGATCGTGGCTACTATTCTACTGAGGTCGTGGCTACCACTCTACTGAGGTCATGGCTACCAGTCTAATGAAGTCGTGGCTATTATTCTACTGAGGTCGTGGCTACCATTCTGAGGTTTGGCTATCATTCTACTGAGGTCGTGGCTACTATTCTACTGAGGTCGTGGCTACCATTCTGAGATCGTGGCTACCATTGTACTAAGGTCGTGACTGCCTGCCTACTGAAGTCGTGGCTACCATTCTACTGAGGTCGTGGCTACTATTCTACTGAGATCGTGGCTACCACTCTACTGAGGTCATGGCTACCAGTCTAATGAAGTCGTGGCTATTATTCTACTGAGGTCGTGGCTACCATTCTGTGGTCGTGGCTATCATTCTACTGAGGTCGTGGTTATCATTCTACTGAGGTCGTGGCTACGTATCAAAATGTTCTTTTTCTCGTGTGCCAAATCCAAATTAAACACTACATGCAGTATTGGGTTTTTGCT